AAATCCAGAAACCATGAAACCCAAAAAAACTTACTCATCAACGAAAAGATGTAGATGCCTAGCGCAACATAACAGTGCTTCCTTCTTCTGCGCTCTCGTAGCGCTTTTCTTACTCATTACTTTCATGGCTTCTTCAACAGGCTGCATTCCGCTTCCGCATTCCGTGCTACTGTTGCATGCCACAGCCAATACTGCCGCAACTGCTTCTGCCGCGGAACGATCATCGTAGGTGTCGCTGTGAAGTACGACACGCGACTGTCGTATCGAAGCGGCTGAGAGCGAAAAAGGCGAGGAAACAGGCACTGAAAGTTGCTTATTTTTACGCTTTTTTTTTTTATTCAGACTGCTGCTTTGATCAGCCGTTTTTCCGTCGTTATGTTTCTGGTCATTGTTGCAGCTGGCAGCTTCTCCATTTCTCTCCATCAGGAGGCTCTGTTATTCTCATAACTCCACACATCCACTAGAATATCGAGAACTGAGGAAGATGGAGAAGTTGTCATCTGCGTCAGTAGTGAGAAGGAACGCTAATCACCCCAGTAAATTATGAAATTTAGTACTGATAAACTGACATATCTGTTCTGCAACGTACGAGAGAGAAGGTGAAGGCGAGATAAAAAGCGCTTTTGATCTGTGAATTCGGTTGTATTTATTATGCGTTTTTGCTTGCAGGGCTACAACGTTGCTATAGCGAACAAAAACGTATATTGTCGAGAGGCATGCGGTGTATATATATATGTATGTACTTACTCATCAACGATTAAATTGAATAACATAGCATATATATATACATATGTATATATATTGAATAGTATATATATATATGTATATATAAAAGCTATGTTATTCAATTTAATCTCAGCGGCTATTCACGCTGTTAAATTCCAGAGTGCTTTATGATTAGCGCAGAAACGCACGATAGCACCGGCAAGTTTGATGCGTCGCAGCTTGGGTTTAAATCTTAGCTGTTGGTAATTCTTAACTGTTCAATTATTCATAATTCCGGCCCCTTCTTCCTCCACTTTAATTCATAAGAACTCGCATTTTCATAATTATTTCTCAAATTAATATGTTTTTAATTTTTCAAGCGATATCCTCGAGAATGAAAAAACATACCAGACGTTTTTAACTTGATATGTCGATTTTGTCGATTATTAATTGACTCGTTACATTTCTGGAAAAACGAAATTTCTCTAACAGCTTCTTTAGTGAAATTACTTTGTGACGTTCCCCAGCCTCAACATAATGCTTATAGGTGGAAGTGAGCATAGTAGTGGAAAAATCCGATAAAAATTGTTTGGATTCATCATAGTGACAAATTGGTGTCATACCTGCTAGGTATATCTTTCCAGAAACCCAGGCGATCCTCAGCTGATCACTTTGTGAGACTGAGGTGGTATTTGGCTAGCTTTCTACAAACCAGGTGTAGAACAGTAGTGATTGTTGTTTGTTGCGAATTAAAAGAATTGTCTAGAATGGTTAATTTTTAAAGGAGTCTATGTCAGCTCGATAGTTTGTAGACAGTTCCTTCACGATCCATTGATTTGCTTTTTTATTGCGAGAGAGTGCGTTATATATCAAAATCAGTTGGTTCTAGTTTTTTTTTTTTTTTTCTTAGATAACCTTCGAAGGAAGGACCATTTACTGCTCTGTAAGTAGAAGAATCATACCGTTTGGGTCATTTGAAGACTAAGGATGCGTGTTTCGCGTAGGTTGCAGTGTGGTTACCGATACCTTCTGGATCTTATGCATACTGAGCACCGAAAAAAACCCACGCTGGAACGCATCGGGCGGGCTTGTGCGATCATGCGTTTTTGAACTGGACTTGAATTACTCAGGTCATTAACTGTAA